AAGAAAGTGAAGGCGAAACATCAAGTAAAACTTATGAAGAAAGCTAAAAAATTTCTGATAGCGAAATAAACTTTAAAAAAGCATATAGGGAACACCAAAAATCTAAACAGAGATTTTTTTGTAAAGAATCTAAGGGTAGACCTGAAGCGTCCATAAGGTGATACATCAACCAAAAACGGGTAGGACGGGAAGGCTTTAATAGTTTTTAAAAAGCGGGTAAAAGGAAAAAATATTACATTCAAAAGAACTTAATGAGACTCTGAATAATGGAACTTAAAAAAGGAGTAAATATCAAGGACCAAACATTAGGAGCAGAGATGTATATTAGATGCAGAGATGTTCAGCAGGGAAGCATATTTTCGCTAGAAGACCCAAAACGGTCATTTAGCACAGCAAATAGACGGCATAAGTCAGACCAACTTAAAATCAAGAAACAACGAGTACGATGGCTTCATTGCAAATTACTCAGGACAGTTTTCAAATCTCAAGCACGTGGACCGATTCCTAAGGAAGCCGAAAGCAAGCTGTCAGAAAACATGTAATTTTTGAACTAAAACTTCTTTGTTTCAACAAATGAAACATTGCAGTGCTTAGCTAGTCGCTGGTAAGAGCGGTTCAATCGTCTAAATAAACAAATTTTTTCGACGCAGCCGACCATTGAGAGAAAATATCGTAAGTTTAATGCCGCGACTCAAACAACTTCAATGCAAAACAATCCTTATCTTCAACAACAGCGCTCTCATTCATTTTTATAATTACCTTGTAGATTAAAAACATCGCTAATTCCAGATGTCACAGCTAGTTTCCTTATCCGAAAATCAGAATTTGATCATTGCAACTATATGCCTTTCTAAAGTACCCGCCTTACAGAACTCATACTCTAATCCATAAAAAAAGTTATCCGATCTAGAGAAGGAACCACACCAGGAGACCCATTAGCAATGACGATGTACGGGCTAGCCACTTTACCTTTAATAAAACTACTCAACGATAACAACTTAACTCAGAAATGGTATGCAGTCGGAAATTTGACAAGCCTGCGAATAGCTCTTGACAACCTTATGAAACACGGAAAATATTTTGGATATCAAGTAAAAGCACCAAAATGCCAGCTCATTGTAACAGATAACAAATACAACGAGGCGATAAAAATATTCAAAAATATCGAAACCAAAATGAAAAAAAAGGTGCCAGAGTATTTGTTTCTGTCATAGGATCCGAGACTGAAAGTCAAACTTTCTTAGAAACTCAGTTAGAAAAACATAACAAAATACTGAAAAAACTTGGCAAGATCGCGAAATATCACCACAAAACATGTACTCCTGTTACACCAAAGGGGTACAAGAAAAATTATCGTTTTTAGCGAGACCTACTCCCAATGCCACAGAAAACATGCAGGCCAGCAATAAAATACTGCAGGAAAAACTCATTCCAAGTTTAATTGGTAAAGATAATTTTAGCCATCAGCTTAGAGACATCGCTTCTTTGCCCTTGAAAATGGGCGGTCTAAATATCAAGCTACCTTCTGACTATGAGAATTTTTTGAATGGTCAATTGAAACATCGTCAGTCTTAGACACATACGACCCATTAACAGCTATATCTGAGCAAGAAAAAATCTATACAAAGTTAAAACTGAAAGAACAAGCCAATAGAGAACTAACAATTTGAACCAATTGAGTGACAGTGAAAAATACTCATTTGAGCTAGCCTCAGAAAAAGGAGCCTCAAACTGGTTAAAAGCACAGCCACTTAGCAGATATAATTTCAACTTCAATAAACCCGAATTTCGGGATGGAATTTATCTCAGATATGGATGGGAACCAATCAATATTCCACTCACATGTGCATGTGGTCAATCTTTCTACCTTGCCAGTTTGAGGCTCTGTTTAGGTAGACTGTGCGAAGGGTGGATACACCCACATGAGGCATGACCATATCAGATATACCTTTGCCAACCTCATGAGCGAGGTTTCCTATGATCTTGAAATCGAGCCGAAACTTCAGTCGTTGCAAGGCGAGATCTTTGTCAACATTTCAACCACGACCGATAAAGACGCTTGGCTAGATGCAAAAGCAAACGGATTATAAGGCTCAAGGTTTAGCCGAACCTTCTTTGATATCAAAGTCTTCAAGCCGCACGCAAAAACTTCACGAAGATTACTGAAAGACGCCTATAAGTACCACGAATCGCTAAAAAAATCAAAATACCAACAGTGAGTTCTACAAGTCGAACACAGCAGCTTCTGAGCGCACATTTATGGCTGCACTGGCGGTGCCGCACCAGCAACTATACGGACAATGCAGCGCATAGCTGAAAAACGTAGTGAAAAAAGGCATGAAGCTACTCAGAATTAATAAACTATATAAGAACTAAGATAAGCTTCGCGCTGCTCAGGAGCGCTATCCTTTGTATACGGGGGTGCAGATCACTGTGTAAGACGCAATTCATAGACAATTTGATTAGTGCTATTAATGAGGAGGAATGGTTGAAATAAATACTTTTAATGACAACGCATTAAATGCTGACTTGATTTAATTCCAGCAATATAGTTTGATGATGTATTTATGTCACGCTGGTATGGGCCCTATCCAGCTAATGCACGACCGTACCTACACGAAAAGGCCCCTTTTATAACTTACCTTTTAAAGAAAATTTGATCATGAATTATATCAAAAATGTCGCTTTTGTCCTACTTGAATGGGATACAGTAACGGCATGGCATAGAAAAACAAAATTTACAAGCAAGGAGCCCAAAAACAATTTTAGCGCTGTGTTCCAGGTTCGTGGATGTTTTGAAATATATTTCCATATATGATGTTTTTTTAGATATAAAGAAATTATCATTACATGATAGCCTTTTTTACATATAATTAAAAATCATAACACCCGGTATAATGAGTCGAACCGATAAACTTAAACAGACTTTAATTGATATCTGCTTCGACAGTAACTTCAGCTCATCAATATAATTTTTGTTTAGGTAGATCTGTTTATGTTTATCTTCGAGTCATCATCCGACTAGAATTTCGAGTCATCATTTTTATTTGTACTTTGCGGCCAAATACTAGTCCAAAAATACGGTATGTTTGTTTATGCTTCAAAAATTAACACTAGTTTTGCACAGGTTCGTAACTTTTTCTACAGTAGGATTTCACATCTTCAGAGGAGACTTTAATAACCCGTTTTCTTATTAAAATATGCCACGGTTTTGGTTTTTCCACTTATTCATCTTTTTTTTCCGCACCTGTTTTTATTCCAGGGTTAGAAGTAAATTGTCGCTCTTGCTTGAGATCCATAATTTGTTAAGTTAGATTGATATCGTTTTATGCTGTTAGTTGAATCAATTAAGTTTTTCTATGCCATGCCATTACTGTATCCTAGTGGAGCTCATAAGAGTTGAGCCAGTGATCACCCGGAGGGCTTGATTTTGAGTAATCACCTGCAGGCCACTCAAAATCAAGCCAACGGGAAGATCACTGGCTCAACTCTTATGAACTCCACTGCCCACCTGCACAATGAAGTCAAGACCCTGAACGTTAATAACCACCACTCCCATTTAACTTCAACATATTGCTTGCATCACCCAAATCATTTCTATCACTCTTCACCCAAATCATTTCTATCACTCTTACCCCAAAACACCTCGTCACATTCGAAAATCAATTTTAAGTGCTTTTAAAGACAACACAGACTCCCTCTTAACCGACCAAAATCCGTCACTAAATCTGAACTCATAAGAAGTTTCCACTTTCGTTTTCGACCACTACAAGCCCCTTTTAAAACAAAACCATACAAAACTAGTAAGCAAGCAAGTTCCCATCAGAAACCCCTCTCTCAAAAGCAATTTGTATTCCACCTCCTACCATCGACCCCTCAAAACAGTCTCTTCCTAGAATCCCCTGCTGTAAGCTTTCCCAACTTCGGCCGGGCTACAGTCGGCTTTTAAACACCTACCTCGCCCGCTGAGACAACCAAGTTTCCCCACTTTGCCCTTACTGTTTATTGTCAATTTACACTAGTTGCCACATTTTAACTGCCCCAAAAATCCCTCCCCATTTACTACCGCTGACCTGTGGTTGAAGTGGGTTGAAGTAGCGAAATTCCTTAGCCTGGAGACGGATGGGCTGAACCCGCCCAATATGGGCTAAAGAAAGAAAGAAAGTTGAATCAAAACGTTATCTCCCTGGCTGTGAGTTTTTTCCTAGTGTATCTTTGTTCAAGCATTCTTTACTTATGAGGGACCAATGCTTATTTGTTTGATTAATTTGTACCAAAAGGTATCAACTGAACTTAATTTGTAGTTTCATATAGCCTGTGTCAATTGATAATAGTCGGTAGATAATTTGACTGCATCTTTGAAATCCTATGATGGGCAACTATGAAGGATAAATTGTCAGTTCATGGATTCATTTTGGATATCAATATTCATGTTTCAAAGAAAGCAATAGATAGGAGATAGGACTACAGCTCTTTGAATTTCTGCAACAAATTTATATTTGAGCCTTTTTTGATTAAATTAACTCAATTGTAAAAAAAACTGGATCAATATGTTATTGTTCCGCTGTTAAGATCACTTTTTATTCCGCTGTAAAATCTGAAATTTAAAATCCTTTTTTTAAACCAGAATTCAATCACGTTGATTTGGATTTTTACTTTATTGCTGTTCCATAGTTGAGTTTGCCTTCGTTTTAACAAAGGGAATGAACTGAACTTGAAAAGAAATCAAAAATCAAACCACGAATAATCGAATTCAGCGTGAACAAACTTCAGGACTTTTTCTGAAGAAAAATCATCTCCACCAATATTACAGTCTGAACGATTGTTATTATAACAAATGAGCTCAACTAATATCTGTTGGTGAAAGGCAGTCAATCAGAACAGATATACCAACTGCTGCCCTCAATGATACAGGTGACTATGGTAAACTAATTTTTAACCTGAAAGACATCTTTATTCCGACTTCAAAAGGGTTGCTAACCATGAGCGTAAAAACATACCTGAACATGTGGCGAATCCACGATTATGGAAACTAGTTGCTGTCTTTGTATTCCAAGCGAATTGTAAAACAAGACAGATATCATTTTGCCCTCTTCTAGCCCCGCCACAGACTGTACTTTTCTACTCGGCATGGAGTCATGTTTATCGCGTGTTTCGTCGACTTCGAGAATATTCTGTTTGTCGTGTGAGGGTCCGGACACAAGGAACTCGACTGACCTTGAAATGACTTCATCGGCGTTGTTTACCGAAGTAAGCAAGCGTGCTCCATAGTCCGCCACAACATGATCCTATAACGTGCACCTTTGAAAACCTTACGAAGCTCGAAAATAGAAGGTGATGCAGTGTGTTAACTAGAATTTTTAAGTAAGGTTGCTAATTGTTATAAATTTTTACGTGAGGTTGCTAATTTTTATAAGTTCGATTGACCAAAATTTAAGGTTGACCGAACTGAGTTCTCTCAAAACACTTCAAAGGCCTCATTTTACACGAAAGTTCTACGCCACAGGCAAATTTTCTTTTTCAAAAAAGGCAAAAAAGCCCTATCTGGACACCTTTCGAAAAGTTTTGATTTAAAAAAATTGCGTTTTCAACGCCCCTCAAAATTGCCGTCTTTCAAATTTATTAAGGGTCGCTTGGCAAGAAGTAAAAGAGTACCAAAAGGAGACCCTTCGAACGGTGAGTGATTAGAATCAGGCCCCCTGCCCCAAATCTGCCTCTGAGTAGATGGACTGTTAATATTTTCAAAACAAAACGTTTTAGTTTATCTTCTGTTTGTCACAGCAGCTGTTAAGAGCCATCTTTAAACACTTGTAGGCTAATACTTTTCCAGATCAATTTCACAACGATGAGTTTTGAGGCCAAAAAAGAACAAACATCACCTTTGCAATTGAAACAAACACCACTTTCGCAATTGATACGAAAACATCATTACAAAAATTGCTAAATTATTTCAATTTTTGAGCCTCATTTTATTGTTAGTTTAATTAATTTTGAATTACTTTACCCTTGATGTACCAGTTATGCCATCATGATGCTGAAACAGACCCAAATTCCGTCTCGCAACAGTCAATTTGTCCAGCAGATAGCTGGAAACATTTTTCCAGACACCAGATTCTGACTTGGAAGCAGGCGCCATGAAGTTAGCTATTGAGAACGCAATCTCAGCAGCCCTGAGTCGGGACTCCAGAACCCTATCTAGTTTCTTGTAAAAAGCACGCGAAGTGTAGAAACCTGACCAATAGGCGTCTTCTTTGTCCGAATAGGTGAAGAAGTCTCCACTGAAAACAAGGTAACCCGATGCGAGATTTTTCACCTAATTTAAAGCAAGATTTGAGCGGTTTTTTAGACGATTGCGCTCAAAATCTTGCATCAAAATGAGCCGTTTACTTATGAAAAACCTCGCAAGATTTCAAAGCTTTTTCAACACAACTCAATTACCCAATCAATTATCCGAGGACATCAGCTGATCAGATCTGTACAGCAAAATTCAAGTGTTCCAGCTTTGGATTGTATAATTATTAGGAATTGTATTAATTGTTAGCTACTTATCAAGAATTTTAGATATAGATCCACACCCACCCCAAGCAGGAGCGGATCTAGCGTGGTTTCAAAAATTTTCGACACAGGCGAAGCTGCGCTTCGCATACACTTGCGAGAACACGACCAAAAAGCAACTCTATCAAGTGAAATAAGAAAAAGTAGAAATAAGCCACGAATTAATAAAAACTCGGCTACGCGTCGGAATCCAATCTGCGACCTAGCAAATATGAGTCTCGCGCACTAACCACTCAGCCACGGATGCTTAAAATCCCCAAAAACTAGCATCAAATAACGCAGCTACATATGCTAATAAATAGCCAACTCGATGCACCAAAAGTAGACACAATGTTGCATGTACAAAAATTGAAAGCATAAAGCCAAATTATGTATAAATTATGCATTTCAAAAAACTGCGAGATACTTTGAGTTAGAAATATTCCGAAATCGAGCTTTTTATCTTTGTACTGCTGTTTGAAACTAATAAATGGCACCAATATTTCCGACTTAGGTTGGAAAAAGAAAGTTCGTCCTTTTACACTTTGCTTCGCAAGTGCAACGATAGAAATGCTCTGAATATTTGTTGTGCAGATGATGATACGTAACAAGGTTCTTAATTTTTTTTGCGATTGGCACTATTAAAAAAAGCCAAAAGACATTTGGAAAAGAGTCACCGAACGCAAAGACAAAAAAATTGAGACCATTTTTGAAAAAACTTCAAATTTCAGAAAAAAAATATGGCATTAAAGCTCTTTGAACTTTAAGAACCATTTATGATCGGCACTTTTTGAATAGAATTACCCAATTTGAAAAAAAACTGGAATGTTAAATAAAGTATTGATTCCGCTGGAAAATCTACAAAAATAAATTCCACTTCTGAAACTAAAAATCGATCTTGTTTTTTGCGCTATTTCTTCTTTCGTAGGTGAAAAACGAAATTTCCCGGCGTTTTCGCAAAAGAACTTGAATTGAAATTAGAAGCACTAAGCATAGTGGAAAGGCGTTCACTTCGAGATCGTCAGATCGTGTAATCGATCCCATGCAAAAGTAATGATAATCGATCCCATGCAAAAGCACAAGTAGTGGGTGAGGACGAGATCTCACTTGACCTCTAGCTTCAGTTATACTACAGCCTGACTAATTCAGCTGCAATAGTGATACCACATGAAAATTCTAGAATGCAAAAAAGCTACGCTCAACAAAATAACTCAGTCTAGAAAGTAGGGAAACTAAAGAAACGAACTATGGTTAGGCAGGCTGGATAGCTTTTCACAGATCCTCTGCAAACCGCAGAAACCACAATTACTATTGAACTGAAAAAGTTCATATATACCTAAGGGTGCCTTAAAAAAGGACAGTTTTACACCGTAAGAAATCGAAATTCAAATAAGAAAACAGAGGCAGGCGAAAATTGGTCAAGGAACAGGAAGCCCTGAAATGATTCAAATTTGAAAATTTTTAGCCTAAGAATTTCGAAGGTATAACTTATACCGTTATAGCACCTTCAAGAGGAAGATTCTTTCGTTAGTGATACAAGACTAAAAAGAAAAAAATTTAGCTGGAAATTCGGACAAAAAGATGAGTAAATCGAAAATTTCAAGTTTCATCCAGGTCAGCTTACACACAAACAAAAAGCTGTTACTGCTTTTAAAACGACGCAATATGGGGCGATTAATTCAAAAAAAGATGAGCCAAAACCTTTTAAGCCGAATTAACAGTTCATGTGATAAAAAAAAGAAAATAAACAAAATTCAAAGAAAAAATATTACAACATAAGCACGAAAATTAAAAAATAACATAAACATAGCGAATGAAAATACAGTGAAAAAAGAATAATTTTTCAAATCAATTTTCGAGATTCAAAAAAATGGCCTAAAATGTCTTCAAACTTCAAGAATCGTTCAGGTTGAGTTTTCAAAAATAGCTAACTCGAACTCATAAAATTGGATCAACGGATGCAACATATTATTTCACTGCAAGTTCAAAAAATTCAAATCCACTAAGTTGCTTATGTTTTTTGGCTCAATTTGGACATTTTTAGTTGTCTCAAAAAACTCAATGTTTGAATTAGCCTAATTATTGTGCTAAACTTAATAAATAGTTTCGGGGATGAGCCAGCAATGCATGGCGCATTGAATGGAGATCTCTTGATGGTCTATATTATTGGAGCCAGCTCACTATTCTATGCTCTTGGGAAAAAGATCACTTTTTCAGTCGAAGGAAACATTTATCGCAAAAAAACGAGTGAGTTTGCATCGACGCTCAAAAGATGCGACAAACAAGGTGCAAGGAACTTACAAAAGGCATAGAGCCTAATCAATCAGTAAACATCTGGCACGACGCAGTTATTAATTCAATTTCTGATCAACCCCGAGACCCACTAACTGGAGAAGAACTGTTATTGTGAAAGAGAAAAGGCACCAAGCATATACGCTGAGTTGAAGACCCTTGATAATTCCGTGGTGCATATGTTGAAAGACGTGAACTAAAATTACAACAAACAGAATTCAGAACTTAATGCAAAAAACAGCTCTTCATCAAGAATCCTATCTAGAAGTCAAAACTCTGGACATTGTGAGTAAATACTAAGTGACCTGGAGCAATTAATTCAAAAAAAAAACAAACAGAAACCATCGCAAAAGCACCGAGAAGCAGCTCAAAAACAAAAACTCGAGGAATCTTCTAAATAATTATCTTTCTTCTGTTTCTTCTTTACTAAAGATAAATACTGTTTGTGAGACAGAACTAGACTTAATTACCCAGACTTGGAGCTGAAACAGATCCCCTTCATTTTCTCATATTTTTTCTTCTCTCCTATTAGTATCGTTCCAATCATAAAAATTAGAAATAGATTATACGAAATGGAAAATCATGGAACTACAAACTGAATTGCCCACATTGCCTTTTCGCAACGAAACACCGACAACTCCTGTCAATGAGAACTCAAGCAAAAAACGACCGTGCTCTGTTTTGAGCCCACTCAAGGAACAGAAAGAACAAATAACACTAAAGCCGTACAGCAGAAAAATAAATGGGCTGTCAATTAGATGATTCAAGTTATTGTTGATACCTTGAAGACAAACTGAACGCAACTATAGAAGCAATGGTGACGGAAGCAATAAGAAATGCTACATCTGAAAATTGTAACGGAATAAAAGCGCACAAAGACTTTGTTGATAAAGCTTGCCTGAAGACATAGGCGGAAGCTGAGCAACTGAAAAGCTATAATAGAAGAGAGAATATCCAAAAAATTGGTAGGCAAGAAGAAGATAGCGAGGGTTATAATGTAACGATGAGAAAAGTGTTGGAAGTAGCAAATTCAATAAGCGCACAAGTTTCCCCAGACTGATTTGTCATTAGCTCACCGGCTTCCACCGAAAGGAAATGGACCTAAGCCTATATTTGCTTGATTCTCCAGAAGAGAAGCTAAAACAATTATTCTCAAGAAAAAGAAATTTATGATGAAAAAAGATGATTGAATTGGAGACGTTTGGACTCGAGATGCAATTATTAATTACATCTGGGAAGCTCATGGAGTAGCCTTTCTCAATGACAACATTTGTGTATTGATGAGTTGTTTAGGTAAAAAAAGGAGTTTTTCAGGTCCAGTCAAACTGATGACACATGAATCTTCCGTGATAAAACCATGTCATAAAACCATGTCAATCCGCTGAAAACTTAAAAACTAGAATCATGCTCTCTAATGTTCGCTCTGTTAAAAAGCATCTTGAAGATCTGGAAGCACTTCTAAGCAGCCTCGAGTCTCCAATGAAAACACTTCGCATAAAAGAAACATGTCTAAATGAAAAAAGACATGTATAAAATAAGCGGATTTCACATCACTCTCACAAACAACAGATTTACAAGAGGAGGTGGGACAATGAATTAACTATGATATAAGACTTTATTAATTGATCAACTGGAAACTGGTCTACTAGAAGCTGTGGCTGCGATAGTACATACAATCTTTAGGGGAAAAAGATCAATTTAGTCTGCTATATACAACATCGTTATAAAAAGAAAAATTTGTTGAAGAACTAGACAAAGCATTAGAATCAGTTGCCAAGCTCAAACTGATCCAACAAACAGACAAGCCCTTGACAATTTTCTAACTCTAGTCACAAAAAAGCCAGCTACATATACTAATAAATTGACAATGCGATGCAGCAAAAGTGACATTCAATATAAATACACACGATTTTGCATGTAATAATTTGGAATATAACAAACTGGGCATCCACACTTACTTTGCATTTAAAAAACTGGAAAGCGTATGACAACCTAATTTAAAAACATGCATTTAAAAAAATATTGTGAGATATATTGAGCTGGAAAATTTCAGAAATCGAGTTTTTGTTATTGTACTGTTGTTTGAAACAAATAGCTTTTTTGGTTTATTTGATGAATAAAAACGCATTAACTGTGTTAACTTGGTGCTAATCGAATATCAAAGCACATGCTATCAAAATACCGTGGGGCCAAGAATTGCGTTGGACAAAAAAGAATAGTCGTACTATTACACTGCTCTTGAAGGTGTAAACACTTAATCCGACGAAAAAAAAATCCTACAGAGGATTTTACCGTTGTTCTTTTACCGTTGAACAAAAATAATGGGGCCCAAATTCGAACCACTGAATCCATGATTCCAATTGACTACCAAGTTTTTACCGCGCTGACCACTTGACCATTGCAACTTGGTAAGAAACACCCTGGTTTTAATATCGCAACACAGCTTAGCCAGCATTGTTTAACAACACCTTTTTAAAGCCCCAAACTGCCCGTCTACACAATGAATAAAGGCCGCATAAGATGCACTATCAATTCATTTACCCGATACAGCATATGATGTTTAAATTAAACATGATACTTAAATCTCGAAGAAATAGCGTTCCACAGAAACATGCAACTAAATAACAGAGCAAAAATACAGTAAGAAAAGTATAAAAAAGTTCAAGGAGACCGGGAAAATGCTTGAATTTTGGAGATCGGAAAAATGCTTGACTTTTTTTTGAACATTTTTGGAAGAAAAAAAAGCGCTGAAAATCAAAAATGAGCGTGAAAAATGATAAGGACTTTTTACTGACATTAAAAAAAAACAAAAAAAAATCACCAAGACATACTGTTACCTGAGTGATGGAAACTCTTCTGGTCCCATTCGTTGTCTGACCAGGTCAAAAAACTCGCTTAGAGTTCCCCACTGTACATGTGCATTCAACTCAGGGTGCGAGTTAATGTAGTCGAATATCCTCTCGTGGTTCTCAAACATTGCTTCCAGCTCCTTCGGTTTCTGGTAACTGAAGATATTGAAAACAGAAAATAAAAAATTTTACCGAAGTTGCAAACAGAAAAAATCAACAACAATTGAACCAGAAAACTTTGTACGACTTAACATTTATCTATAAAATTGAAAGAGATAGAAGCGAAGTTGAAGTAAATCAAACGACAAAAACCAAAAAGTCAAATTGATTGAAGATCGATACAACTTAAGAGTAAACAGTTATGTTAAGCTACAAATTATAGGAATTCACACTTTTTTATTGCTTCAAGAACAGATTGTTTATAGCCAATCATTCTATAGTTCATCGATTTATTGTTAAAACCAAATTTACTGCCCTTTTTGCCTGGAAACCTATTTTTTTGGAAAATGTGGTTAAATTTTGACTTGATTCATAGAAAAAACTCAACACAACTCGAAGGTCAACGCAGTTCACAATCATGTAGAAGCATTCACGCTCTTACCTTTTTACAACCACTGGCATCCATGGCTAATGAAAGAAAGCAAAATTAGAATTAATTGTTGGCATTAAATACAGTCACACCTATTTTATTCGGATTTGAAAATGCCAGTTTTTCAGACCATTTGCAGGTTAACCCAACGCCTGGAAAACTGAACTAACTTGATTGAGAAATCCAAGCCCGAATATTAGCGAAGTAGTCAAAGGAAGAGACAAAATCATCACAGCAAAAAAATAACGGCGAAGTCTAAAAAGTTACTATAGTCTCTATTTCCATAGCAACGACAAAAACTCAGGTGTATTAACAAAAGAATAAGCTAGCAAAATACGTAATACTAAAACTACATCCTAACGAGTTTTTAAAATACAAAGGAAAAAACGGACGGAAAACATGAATACATGATTAAATTGGAGGGCAAAAACAGACTTACTAGAAGTCGCCGCCCGCTGCGACTAAGACGACATTGGATTTGTACACTTGGGCTTTCTTCTTGTACTGGTCCAGAATCATCAGTGCCTGTTCAGCCACATTAATCTGCGTAACAGCCTAAATAAATTAATTCACTTGTACAAATACCACTTCTTTTGGAGGCAAATGCGTTAACTTTTAAACTTTTGGAGCCAAATGCCTTAATTTTCGAAACTTACTTTCGGCTTGTATGCCTTACATCCGCTCGGCGATCCTGTGGAAAGCTGAGTGAATTCAAACTGACAGCAGACATGCTGGTCCGGGCCACAAGTGTCAAGGAAGTTATACGCATTTGCAAACGTCATCAAATGCGTCAGGATATCAGTGGACGAACCCTTATCCCAATTTTGGCGCCATCGGAACTCTAACTTCTGATTGGACGCCAAGTACTTTTTAACGAGATAATGTGCACGCTGAATCACCATATTTTCAAAGCCCATTTGCTTTCGTAAGTATGCATTTGTCGAACTTAGTCCGAAAGGGTCAATGGACCAAGCTGAGCGGGCAGTTGCGTTGAGGTGTGTTTTAATGAAATCGTTACCCTCAATAACCTGGTCAATCATAGCGTATAAATGAGTGTTTGCCTCGTCTTCCATAACCCAGCCGCCAGTTAGGAATTCAATTTGACCTGCATCGACCAGTTTTTTGAACCTCGTTTTCATACTGTCTGTTGCTTGCTCCCACCATAATGACAAGAATGAAATCTCAACCCAGCTGAATCTTCGCCTTAAAACAACCGTTAATAAAGACTCGTATGATATTTTATAGTATAGCCAAAGCGCAACCACTTTAGGAGTTCAATTAGCCCATGACTTCAAGTTATTACTTAATAGCTTCATATTTTGGCTGGCGACTTTTATCGCGACGCATTGTTGACTTGCGCATACTGATTCTACCAAAAAGCGACAATTCGTAACAAGTGCCATTTTGTCGTTACAGTAGTTTAAGCGGCAAAAAATATTTACGCGTACATTTCCTCTCGTGCCGATGTATTCTACTTGCCAATGCCTTGTCACAAATTGTCGCATCTTAAGAATTATCGCATGTTAAGAAATTTCGCATGTTATGAATTGTCGCCTGTTACGAATTGTCGCCATACCTGCTTCTAAATATAAACAATGAGGCAAAATTTAGTCAATATTTCCACAAGCGTTTTCAACAATTTGACCAAAAATCCTGCAGGAGCTAAGAAACATTTGGTAATCTGGGACCATTCAATACAACTTCATTGCCTGTCAAATAAAACTAATTAGGAATTTTCAATGATTTCTGAACCAGATTATGTCACCGCCTACGCCATAATAAATCAAAGTATACTACAATATAGATAAATCACTTTATTCATTAACGCTTAATTACTGATACCTTACCCAATATAGAATTCAGAACCGTGATTAAATTTAGCTCTGGAAAAATAGAAGATTCAAGATCTGAATAAACTACCTTGGATTTTGTTCGACATACTGTACCACGTTGTCCAAAATGAACTTGGTTCGTTGGTCAAAGTACTGGCGAAATGTCCAACCCCATCCCGGGTCATTGTGCGAATGGGGAATCAGAACAACCTGAAAAAAAACTATTGGCCACAGAAGCGAAGCTGCATTTCGCATACACAATCGAATAGTTAAATTTGAAAATTGAGCATCAATCTCTGCTTTGGCCAATATAAATTTTTTGTTAGCCCCCGGCCCTACTTCCACCGTTCCACCTTGGACCTTTCTTCAGTGGGGGGGAAAAGAGATATTTCATCCATTTCGCCGTAGTCCCGATGCGGGATTCGAAAACACGACCTACGTGTTAAAGGCCGCGCGTCTTACGTAATTAGCCACGGCTGCTTCACAAGAAGTATTCGCACAACCCTGGATTCCAACTATCGATCCCAACTGACTATCTGATCCACCAAATTTCCAATAAACGGCAGCATCTTATCCAATATATTAAACGAATGACAGAAAAATTAATACCATGTCTTAGCTGATATAAGTTAAGATGCTATCGAGTGCAAGACTTACTCGGCTTAGTTACCAAGTGAATGAAAGTCTGAATGCGCGGTTAGTAGGCTTTATGTTAGGTAGGCCCAAAACACAATTTCTTCTAGACTTCCAATTTCTGCAGTATTGCTGCACCGAAGTTAGCATATTTATATTCTGCGTAATTTGCTGATTTCTGCGAGTGCCTATTTGACTGCATCATTGCATCTTTTTGGGTGAAGTCCCATTTGTACCAAGATTAATTGGTACTATAATGAAAAATCGGCCCCATAAGTACCAAAATTTTGCAACTCGCTTTCTGATTGGTCGAATTGTGAGCACAAGGAATTATTAATTCAATTTTCTACTGTTTAAACAGCGTAAAATTAACCAGCAGAATAGTGATCGCCGCAGTCGCGCCATTGTGTTGCGAGCTTGCCAACAGAGGGTAGGACTCTATACGAAAATAAGAGCCGGTTATCGCCGCGAAGCGGCGACGCACGCGTAGCGCACCAACCGGCGACCATAAACCAAGAACTTAAAATAGTTGGCTTAGTAGTCGTTTGGCAAATTGAATATTATTGATATTAACGAGATTGATTTTTCATTTTGGTACAAATGGGACTGATTTTTCAATTTGGTGCTTGTGAATACCCACCGTCTTTTTGTGCTAAATTTATTATATGCTGTTTCTTTGCCTTGACGGCGAAATTAATCTGTAGTGTTAGGATCAATCGTACAATCTCCCCCCTTAACTTAAAAGTATGTAATATATCACCTAGATAACAGATTTAATTATCGAAACCTAAAAAAAAATGCCAATTTAACTGTTTTTGTATCCCGAAATACAAATTATATGAAAAACTAAAGATAATTAAATTTTTCGCGTTTATATGAAATGCATATTTTATCCAGAATTTTTTTTCAAAATTAAAACATGCTTGGGTAGGGCATTCTAAGGTAGGTCACTTAAGGGGGGAGATTCTAAAGTTGAATCATCGCGCTGGTTTCGTTGCAATGGTCTTTAAAGGCTAGTTCTCATTGGAATAACTTATAAGTATGTTTCATCACGAACAATATGCTCCCTGTAATAAAATACAATAACTTAAAGTTTCATCGCTAGAATAGCTAGCTATGAAGACTTTCGCAGAGCGCAGAAATAGTGTGCACAGAAAAATGTTTTTGCGAACTATTTTTTGTGAACCGATTCGGTCTATGAATAAACTTGATTTTTCGCATATCGAAATCACGATCGATATAACATGATTTTTACAAACCAGTTAAATTAAAATATTATGTGATTATTTAAAGTTACATCGCTTGAGTAGAGCTTGGATCTAACATGAATAAACGCTGCAAACCGGTTAAATTGAAATAATATAGGATTATTTAAAGTAACATCGCTTGAATAAACAAAATGCCAATTTAACTGTTTTTGTACCCCAAAATACAAATTATATGAAAAACTCAAGATAATTAAATTTTTTGCGTTTATATGAAATGCATATTTTATATAGAATTTTTTTTCAAAATTAAAACATGCGTGGGTAGGGCATTTTAAGGTAGGTCACTTAAGGGGGGAGATTCTAAAGTTGAATCATCGCGCTGGTTTCGTTGCAATGGTCTTTAAACTCATTTGCCATTGTATCCGTTACTCGGAATGAATCCCTGCTACAGACTATCTAGTTTTTGGCGCAATATCCAAATCCTACTATATTTTTCTTCGTTACAGTTAGAGTCACAGACCCTTGCAAATTCTACAACGGTTTTGTTTTTGCACCGGTACGGGTTTTCTACCCTTAATAGGGGAAGGGGCGGGTAACAAGTTTGACGGGGAAAGAGGATCAGAGGGAGGGTTTCTACAAGAAATGGTGGAGGTAGAGGATTCTGTTCTTTTTTGCAAGCTCAATCGATAACCCTTGTCGATTATCCTTTTCAGTGATTATTAATTGTCACTTAATGTCGCTTATTAATTGTTACTCAAGGTCTTGGTGATAATGAGTCTTGCTAATAAAAAGTCTTGTTAATTATCTTACAAGCAGATCACCTAGAAAAAGGCTAGTTCTCATTGGAATAACTTATAAGTATGTTTCATCACGAACAATATGCTCCCTGTAATAAAATACAATAACTTAAAGTTTCATCGCTAGAATAGCTAGCTATGAAGACTTTCGCAGAGCGCAGAAATAGTGTGCACAGAAAAATGTTTTTGCGAACTATTTTTTGTGAACCGATTCGGTCTATGAATAAACTTGATTTTTCGCATATCGAAATCACGATCGATATAACATGATTTTTACAAACCAGTTAAATTAAAATATTATGTGATTATTTAAAGTTACATCGCTTGAGTAGAGCTTGGATCTAACATGAATAAACGCTGCAAACCGGTTAAATTGAAATAATATAGGATTATTTAAAGTAACATCGCTTGAATAAACAAAATGCCAATTTAACTGTTTTTGTATCCCAAACTACAAATTATATGAAAAACTCAAGATAATTAAATTTTTTGCGTTTATATGAAATGCATATTTTATACAGAATTTTTTTCAAAATTAAAACATGCGTGGGTAGGGCATTTTAAGGTAGGTCACTTAAGGGGGGAGATTCTAAAGTTGAATCATCGCGCTGGTTTCGTTGCAATGGTCTTTAAACTCATTTGCCATTGTATCCGTTACTCGGAATGAATCCCTGCTACAGACTATCTAGTTTTTGGCGCAATATCCAAATCCTACTATATTTTTCTTCGTTACAGTTAGAGTCACAGACCCTTGCAAATTCTACAACGGTTTTGTTTTTGCACCGGTACGGGTTTTCTACCCTTAATAGGGGAAGGGGCGGGTAACAAGTTTGACGGGGAAAGAGGATCAGAGGGAGGGTTTCTACAAGAAATGGTGGAGGTAGAGGATTCTGTTCTTTTTTGCAAGCTCAATCGATAACCCTTGTCGATTATCCTTTTCAGTGATTATTAATTGTCACTTAATGTCGCTTATTAATTGTTACTCAAGGTCTTGGTGATAATAAGTCTTGCTAATAAAAAGTCTTGTTAATTATCTTACAAGCAGATCACCTAGAAAAAGGCTAGTTCTCATTGGAATAACTTATAAGTATGTTTCATCACGAACAATTTGCTCCCTGTAATAAAATGGAATTAAAGTTTCATCGCTTGAATAGCTAGCTATGAAGACTTTCGCAGAGCGCAGAAATAGATTGCACAGAAAAATGTTTTTGGGAACAATTTTTTGCGAACCGATTCGGTCTATGAATAAACTTGATTTTTCGCGTATCGAAATCACGATGGATATAACATGATTTTTGCAAACCAGTTAAATTGAAATAATATGTGATTATTTAAAGTTACATCGCTTGAGTAGAGCTTGGATATAACATGATTAAATGTTGCAAACCGGTTAAATTGAAATAATATGGGATTATTTGAAGTAACATTGCTTGAATAAAGAGCACTTCTTGAAATTTTAGCAAATTGATCCATGATATCGATTAATTTGATTTTTTTTTAAAAAACTCATTGCGTGAATAGCTTCAGAACAACAACTAACTGTTTGCGAGCCGATTGATTAACGGAGACGGGCCTGCATCTTACTTATTAAATGGAAGTCAGAATTCGATATGGGCGCAATGTTTAATTGAACGCAAGATTTCGATTTTGTCGAGCGCAACGTTTTAAAAAATTCTTTCGACTCGACGTATAAGACGGCCGAGAAAAGTCCAGATCCTTCAGTACCTAGAGTCCCTGTCATTTTTTGTGCGAACTTTTTCGTGCTCAGATCCATCTCAACCTGAAACTGAAAATTATAATTTCATTTTTAAAATATTTCGCTTTATGCATTAACATGAAATATTTTAAAGGTTTATCTCTCGAATAGCTTGTTTAGCGGAGAAAATTCAACCTATCGCAAACTGATTCATGTTCTGAAAACAACTGGAAAATTGTCTATATTTTAGTGCTCTATAGCTTGCTTCAAAAAATTACAAGTTTTTGCGAGTCGATTCAACCTATGTAAACAACTTATGGTAATTCGAAATTTGTTGCTCAGTAGCTGAATAAAAAAACTCGATTTAATTTATTTCGCGACTTAATTTAAGTTATGAAAACAACTTGAAACATTTCTAAATTTTATTGCTGAATTGCTGGCTTCAAAAAACTTTGAAGGGCTTCAAGCTACTAAATTATTCTGCACTTATCGAGTTTTATCGCTCAATAGTTAGCTTAAACAACTTCAAACTTTCGTTTAACAATTCACGCTAGGAATCATTTTGAAATTTTAATAGCTAAATCGCTTTTTTGAAACAACCTTTAAAAAATTTCGCAAATGGATTCAAGCAATGAAAGCAACTTAAATTACTTCCAAGTTTCAATACTCATAATACTAAGCTTACCTGAAAGAAAGTTTAACCTCTCCACTAGACGATTGACGCCATAAAAAAACTAAAAAATTGGACATACTTTAAGCCAAAAAATATCGCATTTTTTTTATGAACCAACTCACGCTTGAAAGTCTCGCTGAGATATTTTTCAGTTTTTGAGAATCCATTCACGCTATACTATATTTTCAAATATTTCAAAAGTTTCTACGCTTGATTAGCTGGCTTAGAAAAACAAAACTTTAGCCATTCGATCAACGGTATGGAATGACTGCAGAAACGTTTGAAAATTTTTGCCAGCTGATTGATCAATAGAGACGGGCTGGCTAGTTTGTTTCAATTGAATCACGAGCTGTTAGTTAATTCAAATTTTCAAACGTAATTTTTTAAATCA